CTCAGCTCATTTTATCTTGCTTCACATATACCCAGTCTGCCCACATATGATCATGGGGCAACTTGTGGTCCCTAAAACAATTCTCTTCTATTGGTTAATGAGTTTAATGTGTGGGTAATTTAATGTCCTATCCTATAGATACATTGTAGCATAAAGCATTCAGGGTTGACAGCATCTGCTCCTATCCTACCGCCATTCAATTCAATCCCTAGAACGCCCCTCTAATCAACTTGCTGAAGCTGAAAACCCACCCTACGCTTCAAAGTTACCTCTGGAAGTCAGTGGGCTCATGGCTCTATCAGTCTGAGTGATGAAATAGGCATTTCTAATATTTGCTAAACAAGATTGTCGAGAAGGTGAAGTCCCAGCAGGGATCCCAAGCGGTGACTGCATCTCGTTGTCTCAGGTTAATCATGTACCTAATTTGCCGATTATTGACTTGTTCTCGCAAAGGATTTTACTTGGCTTGACATATCAGTAGCAATCAGTGATGAACTGTCAAGCAAACTCGCTCACTGCCTTAACCACCCAAGATTCTGACTTATAGCAACAGTCTAGGAGATTCTCTCTGATGCTGAGCACTGTAGCCAGGTCAGAGTATTATTATTCTTTTCAGTCTAATCTGTTTCCTTTCTAAAACCAGAATTGAGTGAATCTGACACAGCTTGAAGGGTTTCAGATACTTGGCAAGATGTACAAGGCATCCGCCGAACACACACTATCCCTGTAAGGATTCGAGTTGGTTCGTTAAGAATAGTTTAGATTGACTTTTTTTCTCTGTCTGTGTCTTTAAAAATGCAATGCAGGATGTCAAGAATGCTACATTTTAAAGCACAACACTACATCTACCTCTGAAACTGACAAAGGTTAAAAAACGCTAGTATCCATTTTATTCAAGGGTTCAAGTAAATATGCTGCAGGTGGATAGGAGTGTAATTGGTACAAACTTTCATTAGGGTAATTTGACAATATGAGTAAAATCCTTCAGGGTTTATTTTCAGGAAAAGGGTAAAGACTGGCCACTAGAACAGGCATCATGACATTTTATGTGTAAGTCATTTGGGCTTTTCACAGATATTTTTGGTGCTCTTTGTTCCAGGAGCATTGTCAGACTTTGCTTCCTCCTCTACTGAAGTTGGAATGTGACTGGTTTTGGTGGCTACATAAGATGTGTGACTTCCCAAGCAGAAGTCTTTGGGAGTTGGTGTACAATCTCCACCTGCTCCTTTCTTTGTTCCTGCTAGTAGAAATTCCACAGGTTTGTGTTGTTGAAGGAGACTGCTTCTGAGCGAAGTTCTCATTAACCGAAGTGCAGGGGGGTTTCTCAACCTCCACAATGCTGACATTTGGGGCCAGGTAACTCTTTGTTGGGGCTGCCCTGTGCACTGTGGGGTGTGTAGCAGCATCCCTGGATCCCCCCTCCCAGTTGTGACAACCAAAACTATCTCCAGGTGTTGCCAAATGTTCCCAGGGTGAAAGTAGGGTGGGGAAAAAATCACCCCTGTCTGAGAACCATTGATGGTGTAGCATAAACAAGAAATAGTCTTTGTTCTTTTAAATCACCAAGATTTGCTTTTTTAACTGCAATGCCTATGTTTTGTTATAGCCCAAACAATGTATAAACATTTAGCAAAGGGAGACTGCTTCAAATTATGAGTGTTTTACTTTCCTCCTTTTGTTTTTCTAAAACTTTTCTGCAATGAGATGTCATTTATTCTTTAGTAAGAAGAAAAAACTACACACATCTTTTTAAAAACATCGATATTTGCATAATTGCCTATCTATATACAGGATTTGCTAGTTTCTATACACAGAAACTCTAAGCATGATGAAACACTTATATATAATATCTTTCTGTTGTGATTTAGCTTACAAAGTGTTTCCCCTCCTTCCTTGGTTGTTGTTGTGTAGCTACAACAACATTGTGAGGCAGGTAGCATAGGTGGAAAAGGAAACTGAAGCTAAGAGAGCTTAAGGGACCCACCCAAAATCACTTTGCTGATGTGTGGCAGGGTCTGTATTGGGACTTTCTCTCCTATGCCATGTTGCCTCTGCATCTCTGTAAAAACCTAGTTTCAAAAAGTCAACTGGGACAGACTCTGAGTCTTGGAAAATTTAAGCAGGTAAGAAAGGATTCTCCTCTGTATTTAATATCCTTGGACAAGGAGACTAAGCCTTGTAGGCTCTTGGTCATAGCATTGTACTCAATAAAATTTAAACAGCCATTTCATGCAACACAGCCAATGGAATTTCATATTCTCCCCCCACCTCACCTCTTTTTCTTTCTCCTTTTCCAGCTCAAATGAGTCACCTTGGCTAAATTGCCAATCCCCATAGAACTTATGTTCCTTGATAGGATATACCCACAGAAATGAGAAATTCTATAATGGCTCGAGACGTGAGTTAGTCACCTATCCCTGCAAAGAGCTAAGCACTGTCTCCTTGAGGAAATGTAGCTCGTCAAATGGACATGAATGCATGTAATGACAGCGAATGAATGTGGGAATGTGTAGGGAGTCCTTTCCTTTCTTTCTTTAAACAGTGTCCCTATATTGTACCTGTCTTGTGCATTTCTAAGCACCCGCACGGTGCCTTACTTACTTGACCCTTCAACATGCACTGAACTTTCAAATTGGCAGCTGGACTGAAACCTCAGCACACATCAGGCCCTGCCTATTCATTTCCCTTCCCTTGAAATGTGTGACGGGGCTGTCCCCGGAGTGGAGCTATTTTGAGAGGACGATCACTAGAACAATCACAGACCAGGCAGGAGATGGACAGTGTGGGGTAGCCACAAAGGAAGAAAAGTCATTGTCGTGGAGGGCTTGCGTCCTGAATGTCAGAATAGCAGGGAAACTGGGTAGAGTGTGCTTCTGCCTGCTGTCCACTGTCACTCAGTTACAGAGTTACTCACTTGACTTGCCATGGTCGTTGGCTTTTCCATGATTCTAGTTGCCCAGAGCAAACAAGGGGAGAGGAATAACAGCACTTTGGAATGATGTGGGGAAGCATTTCCTTAGCAAAGCTCCTTGCATCCAACTGACTGAGAGGAAAGCTGTGCTGAACTGTGCCCAAAGCCATGTTCTTACCTACTCAAATAATGCCAATAAGCAGATGTCACTACCGTTAACCCTTCATTATGCTACAGTAGAATCAGTGGACCTTGAAGGTCAAGGAAATCATCTAACAATTTGCATAACTTATCAGAGCAGAACCCTGTGGCCTGGCCGAAGCTGCAGAAATGCCTAAGAAACTCCTTTCAGCTGGGTTCTTTTTCTCTTGATGAGAAAGAGCAGATGTGATTTCTGTATCAGGAGTTCTGCTTGATTGGTGCTATATATGCCTAGCGCCATAAATATTTTTCTGGATAGACGGATGGAGGATTCATTGATTACCACATTATGTAGTGGTCTCTATAGTGTGGGCTGTATATGGTCATAAAACCTACACAGCCCTCCCTGCTCAAAAAAGAAATAGTCCTTTAGTCCTTATATTGATCATTTTAGGTTGTAAAGACAGGATTGCAAATCAGTTTCATCTTGAGAACCTACACTGGTTAATTGGTAGTGGCTACCTAGAGGGTTATGTGGGAGGTATGTGAGCACTGGGCTCAGTAAAGAAAAGTGCTGTCATTGATTAGCAATGCCTGCCACAGCAAAAGACAAAGAAAATGGTGGCCTGACTGTCTTGCATTTGCTGATTGTTTCAAGACTTCAAATTCTTCCAACTGAATTTTCTAGATGAATACCTTTCCAACACATTTTAAAGTCAGCTTTAACTGGATATATGTGTGTTTTTCCACCACTGGTGTTTTTTCCTAAAGTACTTTATGTTCTTGCTGGATTTGAGAGGAGATGAAGCAGTAAAACTTTACTTGGTTTTTCTTGGAATATACAATTCTTATTGGAAAAGAAAATCATGCTAGGTAGGTGTTTGCCCCAAGTGATGTGAACTGTATAATAAACCTTCTATCAGGACAAATTAAAGGAAGGATGAGAGAAAAAATGAGATCCATAATATAATTCAATCTCTTCATTCCCAACACTGGGAATAATCTCATTAAAATAATTCACAGCTGCTGAATTTTGGCTTATGTTACATCACTCTTTTCATATATAGTGAGATGTGGCCTAGTAATATTTTCACAAATTAACTCAATAACTAGAACAACTGAACAGAAAGTATCCAGATTATCTTCTAGGTCTAGCAAAGCTGACTTCATCAGGTAGGAATGTTATTTTTTTGGAGATAAAATTCATGACATAATTTTAACTATTTTACAATTCAGTGGTTTTAGTGTATCCATTATACTGTGGAAACTATCACAGCTATCTAATTTCAGAGCATTTACTCAAACCCTCCGCTCCCCCAAAAATCCCACTGCAGTCAGTCCCAATTCCCAGTCCCTGGCAACCATTTGCCTTCTGTCTCTATAGATTTGCCTGTTCTAGACAATGGAATCATGCAATATTTGGCCTCTTGTATCTGGCTTCTTTCACTTAGCATAGTATGTTCAGATTTTATTCACGATGTAGCATGTAAAAATACTCCATTGTATAGACATATTATATTTTGTTTATCTGTTCATTTGTTGAACATTTGGATTGTTTCCACTTTGGGCTTGTATGAATAATGCTGCAATGAACATTGGTATATACATTTTTAAAAGAAAATAATATTTTCTATTTTCTAATAATATTTCTATTTTCTATTCCCTAGAAACAGAATTGCCAGGTCATATGGTAATTCTATGTTCAACTTTTTGAAAAACTGTCAAACTCTTTTCCATAGCTGCTGTGCCGTGTTATGTTCTCAAGCAATGTACAAGGGTTCTAATTTCTCCCCATTCTTGCCAACATTTTTAATTGTTTGTCTTCAAATTATAGGCATCCTAGGGGGGTGTGAAGTGGTGTGTGTATACATATATATATAAAATTATAATATATATATTATTATAATATATATATTTAAGCACTTGGTTACATCAAACGTGGTCATACCTGGGCATGAGATGGTGGAAGTCCCCTTCTTATATAAACACCAAAGAGAGCATCCTTCCCGAGGGAGATGTTGAACTTTAGGAACTGGGGCTGACTGATGTGAATCTGTGACCTCCAAAACACCCCTGGTGGGACTTCTTGTGTCACCCGCCGACCGACTTCTGCTTCACCACTGTCTATGCTGCTGTTTTTCAATGACCAGGGCACTGGAAGACAGGAATAGACACCAAGTCAATGACATTTGTATACACAGGTTGGCTCTGTATTTCTGTTTAATTACACACCAGGATTTTTTCTTTGTTTTAATAATAAATTTTAATTCACGGTAAGTTTCTTTTTAAGTCACAGCTGAAACATTTAGATTTTAAATAATGCAGATTTTAAAAACCCACTCCAGAGCATCTGAAATGTTGGCACCATGCTTTCTAAAATTTCTGTGATTACTCATTACTGATCAAATATAATAAGTTCTGGAGTCTGATAAGTACATGTAATGCTTCCAACCACCCCGAATGTGACTGAGATGTTATTTCCAGACACAAACAGGTCCAATATACTCTGACATTTGGGACAAATCAGGCCAAAATAAATACAACAACTGAGTAGAAAATGAAGATTTGATTTCAGGAAGCTCTAACATTGGGTTAGGTCCTTCCTTGAGTTAAAAAGAGAGGTTCAAGAACCGTGGAGCAACCACATCTATCTCAGACATTAATACATCTCTGCTGCATTATTTGAAATTGTTCATGTTGAAAATATCCATTTCCCACCCTCCGCACCCTCCAGAGCGTTAATGATAGAAGTTCCAGAAATGCATATTTTGAAAGAGGATTTCTTAATAATAATGAACCAATCAGCACCTCTTATGCTTCCAAGGGTGGTTTCCTTTGCAACCACAAAGTTAAGGAAAAACTGAGAGTTACTAGTAGTTGTCCAAGAAAAGCAAGTAAATAGGGCACTTAGAGCTTCATTTTCCTTATCTCTAAGCAGGAAATAACCTAGTTGAAGTCTCATTGTATAAAGGTCATTTGTGATTTCTTCAAATGGATTCTGAACTTGCTAGGAAACATAAAATCACATCTTATCACCCTCCTATCTTCTTAAGAACTTACGAACCAATCAAGACCAAACAGAAAGAATTGAAGTAATTTTGTTTTGAGTCTTCAACTTCCGGAGCCACTGATCACTCTGATGACCCTGTAGATATGAAAACTTCTTCAGCCTGATGGGCCAAGGCTGGGATACCATCTCCCCTCACCACTCCACAATGTATGGACTCTTCTGAAAACATTTATCCATATTCAGCTACTGTATATTGCACAGGGTTTCGACAGTCAGGAGAAATTACAAAATTGCTGAAGACTGACATGAACAGTGAGTAAACCTGTCCAACTCCACAGAGTTGGCTCTGTGACTATCTACCTACTGCATCAAGACAAGACCTGTAAGTGATCTTGGTCCAGTTTCCTTATCTGTAAAGTGGAAGGGTGACATTTTTGGATCTATTAAGGTCTGCTGTATCTAAATTATAAAAGAAAACCACAGAGTGACGAGAGAACAGAAGGTTCCCCCCCTTTTTTCCTAAACATGTGAATTAATAACAGCTCAATAGTGGATCAAATAAAAAGCAAACAGGGGCTTAAAATAAAGTAGGAGAAACACTGGTTTGGATCATAAGCAGAATCCCGTGACCTTGAGGTTAATAAAACTAGGGAACGGACTCCCGAGGGAAGATTTGAAAGCCTCTATCACACAACATCTTTAAAAAGAAAATAAACAACCAGAAGTCCTGAGTGGTTCAGACCTTTGGATGGGGAAGAGATGGTTCCTTTGTCAAGCATTCTGAAAGTTTTTGTGTTGGCTATCGTTTCTAATGGATGCTACATATTTACCCACAGGGGTAGAAAGACAGTATCATAGTAAAGAGCACAGACCCTGGGCTGAAACTGCTTTGACTCAAATCCTAGCTTTGATATTTGTCAAGTGTATCAACTTACTGTGCCTCAGTTTCCTCATAAGCCTAATTGGGACACTATTATTTATTTCCCAGGGTGGTTGTTATGAAGTTTTAATGAGTTAATCCACGCAAAGCTCTTAGAATAATTTTTGGCACAAAATAACTTATTATTATTATTACCTGTAAGACCCTAAACCTGAGTGTTGTTTATTTGGAGGTTTTGTTGACATAATGGCTTTTTTAAGGGGAAATACTTGTTATCACATGTTGATCAGACACTCTGATTATTCTACATTGGAAACGAATTTATACTTTAAAATGCTGCTTTTGATAGGCAGTCTCCCCTACCCCCCAAAAGGACTTTGGGGGAAGGGATATATTAAAACAGACCTAGTAAGGAAGGTATATAGCACAAACAGCCTGCCCCCCACCAGGGAAGACTAGTTTGGGGAACACCAAAAGCAACTCCAGCAATCACAGTGTGGCAACAAGTTAAAGAAATACATTAACAGCCAGGCTCGGTGGCTCAGCCTGTAATCCCACACCTTTGGGAAGCTGAGGTGAGTGGATTGCCTAAGCTCGTGGGTTC